TGACTCTAGTGATTAGATTTTATAATAAATTATGTGGAAGTTTTGAAAACAAAGTTTTCAGTGTTTTGTTGTTACAAATTCATTAAAGCTTGGTCGTCGGTCATCTTTGATTTCATGTTGAAGGGTTCGTGCTTCTTCTGTTTCATTTGAGCCAGCATAAGGTGCATATGTGAACTACTTTTGGTTTACCTTTCGGCAACTTCTTAATTCGGTAGACTACGTCATTGATTCTCTTTTTAATTTCATACGGACCCTCCCATTGTCTTTGCAGTTCAGGAGACAAACCTCGACGACATTGTAGATTATAAAGCCAAACAAGGTCACCTACTTTATAACCTCGATTCTTGCATCGAGAATCATATTGATCCTTCATTCTGTCACGGGCTAACTGGATGTGTTGCCGGGCAAGTTCATGAATGTTGTTCATTCTTTACTTCAGACGGTCGACATAATCTTCGCTTCCAACATGTTCTTCGGAAGGTCTGCAGCCAAACGAGCGGTAGGCCATTAAGAATAAATGAATGTGCTGGTCTCAATATCTTTGATGTTGTGATACAACTTTGGACAGGTGTTTACCCATCGTTTGGTTCATCCTCTCGACCATTCCATCTGATTGAGGATGCAGGGGTGCCGTTCTGGTCTTATTGACACTGATCAATTTATAAACGTTTTGGAAAAGGGTTGACTTAAAGTTTCGCCCTTGGTCGGAGTGGATCTCCAAGAGAACACCAAATCGGCTAAAGAATTCTTTAACAAGTACCTCTGCAACGGTAGCAGCTTCTTGATTTGGTATCGCATAGGCCTCAGTCCATTTCGTAAAATAATCCATGGCTACCAGGATATATTTATTTCCATCATCTTTACAGTTTACTCAATAGAACTGTTCTCGAATATTTTTCAGAGTCTTTGTAATACCAAAGTGTCCACCTGATGTATCGTCATGCAATTGACGCAATACTTCTGATACTTTACTTTTAGGTACTATCAACTGAAGCTTAGATTCTGTACCATCATCGTTTTCAAAGATTCTATACAGAAGATCATCTTTTAGCACTAGGCAATTCTATTGGCTCCAGTAACACTTGAGTTCTGGACTACATGCACAAATATCTTGCCAAGAAGGGGCTGCCATTGATCATTAATGACGGTGGTTCTTCTCACGGGACAAAGTCGTTCTTCTAATTTAAGACAGTGATTACAATTTATATTTACAAAGCATATTTACAGAGGAGAAAAATACAACTTCCTACGACTCATACTGGAAGGGAAAGTGGAAGGAAGAAGAGGTCCAGGAAGAAGAAAATTCTCCTGGTTGAAGAATGTAAGAGATTGGACAGGCATGAACACACATTCGATATTAAGAACAGCTCAGGATAGAGAGCAATTTACTGTAGTCTCTCTTTCCTCAGAGACGAAAATGTCACTGAACCTCTAAAAATCAGTCTAACGGCTAAATTTTGCTGGGGATGTCAATTTTTGGACCCCAGATGCAAAACAGTTTGCCACTCTATCCCCGGGCTTCTATCTAAAGCTCCCTCTCGTTGGAGGGAAAAACGGAACATCGTATGGAATTTCCATTGTTAGAACCTAATCTTTAAAAACTATAACATGAAATTTCGATTTTGAGTTTTCGCAACAAATATGAGACATTTAAAATATACCTAAAAACGCTATTACAAACTATCTAAATCTGCTTTTTTTATTGCACAAGTACTGTCTTTCGAAATTTTACAACTTCAGGTACAAATTTAACCCAATGCCGTCTTCGTGGAGACATTTCCCATGACTTGTGATCGTTTGTAATGTGAAAGTTTAAATTCAGTAGTTAGGCATATTTCAAATGCCTCATATTTGCTGCTGAAACTTAAAATCGAAATTTCATGTCATAGATTTTGAAGATTAGGCTCTAATAGTGGAAATTCCAGCACTCTTCACTTTTAAGACATATTTTAATTTTTGTCGATAGTCGATAGAACAGTTTGATCAAAATATATCAAATTTTGTAACTGGCAGCTTAGACACCAAACCCAGTGAAACACAAATTTAATTTTAATAAAAAATAAATACAGTGAATGTTATAAAAATTATATAAAACGAAAATATTGTTATTATTAGTCAATACACACACGCCGAGAAGGAAAAATCTGAGTTATAGGTGGACGGCTTGATCAATACTCTATCCGGCAAGGAGCGGGAAGTGATTAATCAATACTTAGTTGCGTTACAGTTTGGCCTTAGATCAATACTCTAAGACCGGGTTTGGCAGCTGCTGCTAAATCAATATTCTAGCAGTGGTTAACCTTCACTCAATATTCTAAGGACAGTGGAATTGTTCTCAGATCATAAGTCTAATAAATATTTTATTTAAAAAATTCCTTTATAAACGGTATACTAATAAAAACACTATCGGGCTTCATCACATAACGTTTTCGGAATAACTATTCCATCATCAGTGCTATTCTAAAGTGTGGTTAATATTTACTGGATTTACATGGTTGTAGCCACTAAATATATGGCTATAAGGCCCAGCACAAATTGAGCACAGCCCACGCACATCCCATGCGCAGCCCACGTATGGTCCAACCTAGTCCAAGTACACGTTTTTCAATACTAACGCATATTGAACACAGCCCACGCCCATGTCAAATGTTTGTGTAAAATATGTTCTATCCATAAAATTAGGAAAAACATAATTTACGAGTGTGCTGATTCTGACGAAAAATCTGGACTATGCATAGGAGATTGTTTTCGCAAATACTATTCAACGAAAAGATAGACTGTTTTCAGTATATTAGTTTAAATAAAGATTTTATTTTCTAGACCTTTTAATTTTTACCTAATATCCCACTAACAATTTCTAATCTGAAAATATAAATATCTTGAAAACTTTCACAAATGCTAAGGGTAAAAAATTGAAATCCTTCTACAAAAGACTATAGATATAATTTGAATAAGCTGCTTTTGCCGATTTGACTTTCTTATTACTAATTAGCATAATAAGCAGATATTTTACATGGTAAAACCATTTTAACAATTCTGTTAAAGATTAGATTTTTGTTTCATTGAAAACTGAACCTGATATTAATTTCTTGAGAACTTTTACATATGATAAGGGTAATAAATTGAAATCCTTCAACAAAAGATTATACTGGTAAATACCCATAATTTGAATAAGCTGGTTTTGCCGATATTGACTTTCTAATTACTAATTAGCATAACAGGCAGATATTGTAACTGGCCACAATGCCGTTGAATATTCCGACTTTCATTTCGCTTGTTTTGAAAACTCCATCGGATATTAATTTCTTGGAAACTTTTACAATGCTGAGGGTACTAAGTTGGAATCCTCTAACAAAATACTATACAGAGTATTGTTGAAATAAGTGAAATAACGTAATAAACAACAGGAGAGCTAAAAAATATAAAAATTTAAGATCGTATTTTGTTTTCAAGATAAATTTAAATTTGAGAATTTTTTATTATTTTTCTACTTTCTTCATGTTCTTTTTTAAATTAATTTCAGTGTAGAAAAGCCATTACAATATGAGCATCACGAAAAAGTACCATCAAATTTTATTTTGAAGTTTTCATCTTAGGTGTTCATAAACATTTTGCTGGGAAATGAAAATTTGTTTTTTCCTTAGTTCTCGATTTGTTATATTTCTCATTTGATTTAATAAAAAATTAATTGAAATTAATTTTTTTTATTAAATATAACGGCGACTTACATCCGAGTCGCTTAGCACAAATAAAGAAAATATTAGTTTTGTTCTCATGTAATCTTCATTACTAGTATCATACAAGACACTAAAGCTTCGAACAATTTCAATAAACTTTTCCATTTTCACTGAATAACAAAAAATTGGTCAGACAAAACAAAATAACTAAGGTTAGGAAGAGACCCACGACCCACGAAACTGTGTTACTAGCACAACTCTATCCACGCCAACCAAGTCTGGCAGTAGCCTGGCCGTGGTTTGGGTTTAATATGCGTCGCTATGTCTAAAACCACGTTTTACAAAATAACCCACGCGTGGGATGTGCGTGGGCTGTGCTCAATTTGAGGCGGGCCTTAAGCATTTTAATGTAGTTTGATTAACTTTCAGTTGCGTCTTTAATTTTAATTATCAAAGATGTACTTCATAGTTAATCAAACTACATTTAAAGGGATTTTACCTACATATTTAGTGGCTTCAAACATGTACATCCAGTAATTATTAACCACACTTTTGTAATAACCTTGGTCAACGTTTTAACATTCACGTTTGATTTAATTAAAGTGGTTATACTTATTTTAGGATAAGACTGATGATGGAATAGCTATTCCGAAAACGGTCTGTGATGTAGCCCGATAGGGTTTTTATTATTATACTTTTTATAAAGGAGTTTTTTAAATAATTTTTTTGTGATACGTGGTATACAGCCAACTACGGCAATTTAATTTCCTTGTGGATTATAACTCTAGTCTATCTTTGAATTAAATTAGAAAAAGCTGTTTTCAAAACAGCTGTCCTGGCACATGCCCACTAAAGTGTCATGGCATTAGTAAAAATAGAATGTTCTTTATTAGACAGTCTTTGTTTTTCAAATTTCCATCTCTTCTTAAAACTGTAACATTACTCGCTGGTCAGCGCTTTTTGTACAATAAATAATCCATTGCGTTTCTATATGAGTACTTTGCATATTTTCTAAAATAATACTATAGAAAAGAGATATGTACCACTGACTGGACTCAATTTATTTTGTCCAGTAGAGGAAATTTTGTTCAATTATAAAACTTCTGCCGTAATCATAAATTATTGTTTTCACTCTCAGGCCAAAAGTTTTTCAGACCACGCACAGACTTACTAGTCGGTATAGTAAAACAAGTGTCCGTTAAATGGAACTGTTTATTAGTAAAGTCTGTAATTAGCAAAATATTGTGAAATTGCTGTTAATATATTAATGTTGGTAAAAGAATTAAAAATATAGCAGTTGATTGTATTATTAATTATTTACAGGAAAAGTGGAAAAAGAAATTGAACGATTAGCCATACGGACTCAAAAAGAATTAGTCTTGTTGCACCGAGAAGGTGGTAAACCGAAAAATACAATTGCTTGGCTAAATATGAGAAGTTGGGTGTCGTCACACCATCACATATTATGCCCGAATAGAGTATTCGCTAGAAAATCAGTTAATAGAATTGTAAGTATATTGGTCTTTTCATGGTAAATTTGTATATAATAACATCATCCAAATAACATCATTCAATTTAACGTTGTTATTTTAGCACATTTCCGTAGTCGGGATAGTAGAGAATGGAGATAGTTATGAAAGACTTAATCTGGTTATTATTATTATCCAGATGTAGCCTTACGGCTCACACTCCCTCTAATGGGAAAATTCACTCATCCCAGATACCTACGGTATCAAAAGAATAGAGCACTGGTGGGACTTGGTACGCTGGAGTATTTTCTAAACATTTTCGTATACATCTGGACGTTAAGTGTAGTACAGCTTTCAGCATGGTCTTGTAGAGATGTTCATTCAGATCAAGCTTTTTTATGTTTTCTAGGAGGTTCTTCGGAATGAGTCCAGTAGTAGAGAGATTAGTAGGTATTGTCTGGTTACCTTCCATTCTCAACTGTTTTCGTATTTGAATTTCCAGATCCCTGTACTTGGCGATATTTTAGTTCTGTTTCATACAAAGATTATGTGCCAGTGTTTGGTCTGTGAGCACAGTGCGGTCCCAGTATAGTATTATCTTAATCTATATATAGTATTGTCTTAAACACATTTTTACTATTAAGGTGGGAACAAAATAATTGCAATGAAGAAAAATATAAAGAAACCCAGAGAATCATCCGAAACAAAATTAGGAAAGCCAAAGAATAATGGATGAGCAGTCAGTGTGACTTGGGTACAAGAGAAGCCTTGTTTAGTATACAGGTGCTAGTACAGAGATGCAGAGATATAAATCAAAATGTGTATATTTGTGCAATCGATTTTGAAAAAGCTTTTGACAAAGTCCGACATAACAAAATGCTAGAAATATTGGAAACAGCTGGATTGGACGATAAAGATCTACGAATAATTACAAATCTATACTGGCATCAAGTGGCAAGAATAAAGGTTGAACAAGAACTGTCGGATGAAATAAATATAAAAAGAGGAGTGAGACAAGGCTGTATATTGTCGCCTTTACTTTTTAACTTATATTCGGAGGAAATATTTAAGGAAGCCTTAATGGAGACAACCGAAGGTATTATTGTGAATGGAGTAACCGTCAACAATATTAGATATGCCGACGATACCTTAGTCCTTGCCAATTGCGGAGAAGATCTTCAAAATCTAATGAACAAAATAAAACAGACTTGTGATCAGTATGGACTAAAACTCAACGTTAAGAAAACTAAATATATGATAGTTAGCAAACAAAATTATATACATGATGACGGTATAAAAGTCGGAGATGCCACACTGGACAGAGTAGAGAAACTCGTGTATCTCGGCAGTAATATCAATGAGAGCTGGGATCCAACCGCAGAAATTAAAAGCCGAATAGAACAAGCCCGAGCTGCCTTTGTAAAAATGAGAAACGTACTTTGCAGTCATGATCTTAGCATTGACCTTAGAGTTCGTATGATATCTTGCTACATCTTTCCTGTCCTGCTGTATGGAGTAGAAGCGTGGACCCTAACTGAGGCTATGTTTAAACGCTTGACAGCCTTTGAGATGTGGGTATACAGACGACTACTGAAAATAAGCTGGGTCGACAGAGTTAGAAATGAGGAGGTCCTTAGACGGCTGAACCAAACAACACAACTGGTCAATATAATAAAGAAACGCAAGCTGGAATACTTTGGTCATATTATGAGACACCATGAAAAATATGATCTTTTACATCTGATCATTCAGGGAAAGATCCAAGGTAATCGTGGTCCTGGTAGAAGAAGAACATCATGGCTGAAAAATCTAAGGCAATGGTATGGAAAATCAACTACATCGTTATTTAGAGCTGCTGTCAATAAAGTCACGATAGCGAATATGGTAGCCAACATGATATCCAACGATCGATAACGGTCATGGAACTAGAAGAAGAAGTCAGTGTGAGGAACTGGGGGATTTACTAAAAAAGGATGACTACTTTAATGCATACAAAAAGATAAGCAAGCCACAAATATGAAGAAAAAAATCACTACAACAACTTTAATAGATGATAACAACGAAATAGTATCCAGTCCAGAAAATGTAGGAGATATGTGGGAGAAATACATCGAAGAGTTGTTTGATGATTACAGAACAGAGCCACAAATGAATATAGTACAAGAAACAATACTTGATATATTAACATCGGAAGTTACAAAAACAATCAATACGGCAAAGCCACTAAGAACCTCAGGTCCAGATGAAATATACGTAGAGATGATAAAACTTATCAATGACGAAAATCTTCAGACGTTAACAATATTATATAAAAAAATATATACCACTGGAATCTTCCCAGAAGACTGGCTTAGATCGACATTTATACCGATACCCAAGAAAAATAAAGCAAAAAGATGCTCACAGTTCAGATTAATTAGCTTAATGCGCCATTTTCTGAAAATTTTACTCAAGATTGTATATTAACGAATATACAGAGAATGCAAAAGAAACCTGAGCGACAATCAATTTGAATTTCGGTTGGGGCTTGGTACAAGGGAATCATTGTTTGGCCTCCAGATATTACTACAAAAATGCCGAGATCAGCGAAAATACGTGTTGTTTCTCTGTTAGACTACGAAAAAGCGTTTGATCGAGTAAAACACACAGAACTCATAGAAATCCTAACACAACATGGTATAGACCATAACACTGTAGCACTTATTAAAAAACTATATTGGAATCAAATGGCGTCTATCAAAATAGACAATCGTCTGGCAGCAGAATTGCCAATAAAAAGAGTCGTCAAGGCTGTGTACTTTCTCCACTGTTATTTAATATATATTCCGAAAAGATCTTTCAAAATGCCCTCGAAAATATTGAAGAAGGAATAAAAATCAACGGACAACAACAATAAACAACTTAAGATACGCAGACGACACCGTCATTATTGCGGACAGTGCTGAGGGTTTATAACGACTTTTGAATATCATAACCAGAGAGGGAGCTAGCTTGGGACTAAATATAAACACAAATAAAACAAAAGTAATGGCTGTTACACGTGCACCAAATGTCGACATTAATATTCGTATCTATAACAAACATATCGAACCAGTACAAAGATTCCAGTATCTTGGTTGCTGGATAACGAACGATCTTGACCACGAGGGCGAAATACGTGCTCGTATAGAATATGCTAGGACCGCATTTTAACGAATGAAAAAAATCCTAATAAACTCTACGTTATCGTTGGATATCCGATACCAATTTGTAAAAACGTTTATTTATTCCATATTGCTATACGGAGTGGAAACATGGATTCTCGGAATTACAAGTATGAGGCGTATAGAAGCCTTTGAGATGTGGGTTTTTCGAAGGATGCTGAAGATCTCTTGGACAGAGCACGTGACCAACAACGAGGTGCTAAGAAGAATGGATACTGAGAGAGAACTCCTAAATATTGTAAAAAACAGAAAAACGAGGTATCTAGGACATATTTACAGAGGAGAAAAATACAACTTCCTACGACTTATAATGGAAGGGAAAGTAGAAGGAAGAAGAGGTCCAGGAAGAAGAAAATGCTCCTGGTTGAAGAATGTAAGAGACTGGACAGGTATGGATACACATTCGATCCTAAGAACAGCTCAAGATAGAGAGCAATTTGCTGTAGTTATAGCCAACCTTGAGTAATGGAGAAGGCACCTTAAGAAGAAGAAGGTGGGAACGAAGTAGCTATTTTACTTTTCGTATAAAGTCAGTAGTTATCTCAGTTTTCATGTGCTTATGGTCAATCTTCCGCGCTTGCTTTATTCCGAGGTATTTATACATATAATTTTCACCCATTGCCTCGATGTTCGGGCTGTTTTGCCCTTTTTGTATATCGAATCCACCGGACTGAACCTTTCCTTTGATTATATTTAAGACACGGTACTTCTAAAGATCGAAGTGCATACTAATATCATTAGAGAAATTTTCTACTGTTTTCAACATCTGATCCAGGTAACTTCGAGCAGAAGCCAGTAGTTTTTAGTCATCCATATACAATAGGTGATTAAGCTTTACCACAACAGTCGTGTTATTTTTTATGCTTAAACCTGTGTCAGTTGAGTTCAGTAGCTGGGATAGGGGGTTAATCGCTAAACAAAACCACAGTGGGCTCAACGAGTCCCCCGGACTAGGCTTCGGTTGATTGCAATATTTTCAGTTTTGCTACTGTTTTCACCAGGTATTTGGAGGTGAATTTTTGTCTTTAAATTTGACATTATATGCTTTAAAAAGGTCACTATATTATCATCGAGTTTATACATTTTCAATATATCTATAAGCCATTTATGCAGTACTGAATCAACCGCTTTCTTCTAGTCGATGAAAGCAGTAAAGAGATTCCTTTTTTGCTATATGTTTGGTTAGAAATGACAGAGTCAATGATAAGTTGTTCTTTGCAGCCCATGTATCCCTTAGCGTAATCTTTCTCGTGAGGCTCTACGATATTGTTTAGAGCACAGTGTTGGTTGATACTCCGGGTTACACAGAATGTAACCAAATTATATAGAGTTGAAAGACAAGTAATTGGGCTATACTTGTTTGGATATTGGGTGTTATTTTGATCTTTTGATATTAAATAAGTTGTTCCCTGGATTAGGACAGATAGTAGACCTTGTGGATTTTGACAAGAGCTATTATAACGTTGTAAAGACTTGCAAACTAACTGCAGTGTTAGACGAAAACTGAAAACGTCGTAATTGAAGTAGGTTGAAAATGATAATATTATAATTGTATTCATCATCATCTTTGGCTCTAAAATCCTGGGTGGGTCTTGGCCTGTTCAAGAATTAGTCTCCATTCCCCCCTATCTTTCGCCCCGGCTTTCCAATTTCTGACCCCTAGATTCCTCAAGTCATCTTCGACTTGAATTTTAAATCTAGATCTTGGCCTGCCTCTCTTCCTGGTTTCTACTGGCTCTAGATATAATATTACCTATATTAACTATATTTTCGCCAACATCACGTTTCGCATTGAACTAAATTCTAAACGTGAATATTCAAAAATATCTTTGTACGGCTAGATCCCAAACAGGGATGTAAAGCCCGAATGATGGTGATGGTTTTCACTATGTAAACGGTAGTAAGAGTTTGCAATTGTCATTTGCGATCTATTAATTAAATATTATTTAACGTATTAAATGTTTAATGATCAGATAAATTAGGGAACATGTTAAGCAATTAGTTGTACTGTGTCGGCGTAGAAATCTTATTCATGACGTAAAAAAACATAATGTATATGTATGCAACATCTTTGTATTTAGCTTAATTTGTATTTTGTTTTAGAACGAATTATACTCAAAAATTTACGCAACGCAGCCAAATGTACACTCTGACTTTTCTCGATTAGCCAGATGGTTGACAGGAAAATCTGTAGGATTAGTATTAGGAGGAGGAGGTGCTAGGGGCTCTGCACATGTAGGAATGATCAAAGCAATCTATGTAAGTACAATGTTGGAATAAACTAAAGTTAACAAGTATTATTATTTGTTTTAATATAGTATAGAGGTGTGCTTATTAGTTCTTTTAGACGAACTAGTTCAACAGAACTATTTCACAACATGAACTAGTTCAGTGAACTAGTTCGCGAAAGAACTATTTGTAGGACCGACATCGAAATCCAACCCTAACAGAACTGGTTGCCAGATGTCTCGTCTCAATCATCGCACAAGCTCGGCGCTGGCCGCCCGTTTACTTCGGTTTTCAGTCAGTATTTTACTAGTTCACTACCGTACAAGTAGTTCGGAACTATTTCTTTCTTTCAGTCAGTCTTTCACTAGTTCACTACCGTACAAGTAGTTCGGAACTATTTCTTTCGATCGTATGTTTAGGTTTAAATGGTTTAAATTGTTATATGATTAATTAGTTTTTATTTGCAAAAAATTATTAACCATGTAGCTGCGCGAAGGAGGAGTCAAAATTCACGTAAAGGCAGAAAGATTCTATTGTAAGTGGAATTATACTAACCAAACTAAAACGTTCTACCGTCGACTGCAACTTCGAAATTGTCGAAATAATTAGAGTGTTGGACTGAGTAATAAATAAAAAATTGCATGGTGCATAACAAAAATTATTTTTATCTGCATTTCGTTTATATTTTAAATGATTTTTGTTCAATTTTTTTTAAAAACTGGCTTTAATTTGTTATTTTAAACTTAACTTTCGATATTAAACGTGAAAAAAGCCCTATTATTTATTGCAAAATTATTGGTTATAAGTTTATATTTTCAATTTCTTATTTTGAGTTGACACATATAACTAATATTATGGGATGAATAACTAATACACATTTAATTTAATAATTTATTTTTAAAATGTCTAAACAGTTGTATCTACTGTTGTAGTTGTATATACTATTATTTACAAATTAACTAATTTTTGTATTCATTTATAATGGTATTTAGGACGGTAAATTAAATAATATTCAAATTCATATTAAGAGTCCAACGGATAATTTGATTGAGTGATAATGATCATTTGTTTACTGATCTGTTGAATGCTAATGATCGATTGATAATTTGTTTGGAATTCTACATACGTGATAACTACTAGAAATCAGTGATTACTAGGAATTGCAATGAGGTTAGATAAGAACAATTAGATACAATAGAACAATAATTAGGTTCTACCTACCTATACATGGATTTCCTTTTAGTAATTAGTTGGATTTATTTATGTACCTGAATTCCTCGAAAGGTTTAGACAATATATATACAAAACCCTCAAAATTAACACACCATTTTAAAAATTGGACATTTTATGTCTGTTTTAATTAAAAATTTAAATAATAAAGTAACTAATTTTTACAAAAAAACCAGACACTTTGTGACATTAACTTTTGTTAATAATTTGACATTTATCAAATTGTTAATTTATCATAGCTCACTTTAGGCTTCTTTAATAAACTAAGTAGAAAATAAGGATTTATTGACAAAGAACATGGCTAGTTGTTAAAGGACACAACTTTGTTATTTTTGAATATAAGTGAATCAATAAAAAAAAAACAAAATGTTAAAAAACCTAAGGCTATAGTTGGGTTTTAATTTTAGTATTTTACAAATGAATGTTACACAGGGTGTTTGTCCAATATCAAATCTTCAGAATTCATATCCGAAATTGGACAGTATAATTTTATCACCCAGTAGACCGAATTAATTTATTTGTTATTAAATACACACACGTAGTTAATTAGGTTACATTAGATTTGGTCAATTATCAACAATAAAATTTGGACATCAGTCGAAAGTGCTGACAAAAGTTAAACAATTTACACACAACTTAGATACACATGTCATTAGGTCCGCGAATATATTGACCCAATTAAAACTTATATAAAACTAAAATCTCTTGCCTAGAGAAGCATTCAATCAATATTCACTCAACAAACGTGATAGTCTTCAACGCTCAACTGCAACAGTCTCTACTCAAAGTAATCCCGGGTCAACACCCATAGTGTACGTCTCGTCAATAAACTCTGCTACTATTATTTTGTGTTTCCATTACAACTGAACGAACATCTTCACTGAGCCAACGAAAGGGAATTTGTTCATGGTCCTATCGAGAAACAGAATAGTTCAAGGAAGTTTGAGAAAGCCTATACAGTCCACGCCAGCAACACCCTCAGTAGCAGAGAGAGAGACCACTAGACCCGGGAGAACGAGAGCAGTTACCAAAGCCGAGAGCCATACTAGAGCCGAGAGCAGTACCAAAGCCGAGAGCTATTCTAGAGCCGAGAGCAGTACCAAAGCCGAGAGCCATACTAGAGCCGAGAGCAGTACCAAAGCCGAGAGCCATTCTAGAGCCGAGAGCAGTACCAAAGCCGGGAGCCATTCTAGAGCCGAGAGCAGTACCAAAGCCGAGAGCCATACTAGAGCCGAGAGCAGCACCAAAGCCTAGAGCCATTCTAGAGCCGAGAGCAGTACAAAAGCCGAGAGCCATACTAGAGCCGAGAGCAGTACCAAAGCCGAGAGTCATACTAGAGCCTCAGAGCAGCCAAAGGACAGGGCCGATTGCAGAACCCACCAGAAGCGAGGGATCCTCAACTTCTAAGAACATAAACAAGTTTTTGAATAATTACAAAATCTTCCAATTTTACAATATTACAATTTAACAATTTAGAACAACAATCTCCACTCTATCAATCGTACAATAATGTACTTTAGAATGTATACCAGTTAAATAATACAGAGAATTGATAAAACAAAAATAAACGTCATTCACAGCTAAAATTTACTAAGCAGTAATTTTGTAGGACAATTTGAAAAAGGAAACTTTCATACATATAGCTTGCTTTTAATTTCAATTAAATACTTTATTTCGAAAAATTAAAATAATTACTTAGCAAATAATTTCATTTATTTTGATAACAATATATATATATATATATATATATATATATATATATATATATATATATATATATATATATATATACATATTGAACCAAATTAAAACGGAACATACAATTTAATACATGTCTGTTTGAACTGCATTTGAAATAGTGGACCAATATAAAACTTGGACAAAAATAAATCCATACCTGGGTATAGACATTGTATAAAATATCGTTCAACTATCTGTCTCACAACAATGTTGTTTGCGTAAGACGGGTTTGTCTAAGGAAACGATAATAGTTCAGGAAATGAATCTCGAAAAAAGTTAAAACCTCACAATTTTTTCGTCTTGCATGTATCCAGTTGAAATTTTAACAGAAGGTAGGTGATAGCCCAAGGATCAAAATCTATATCGAACCGAAGTGCGCTGAAGGGTTTTAGGGGTGAAAAATACCCCTAATTGTCAAAAATTATAAAATAACATATTAAACCTGAATCTGAATATGGGTAAGATTTGGTTTGAATTAGTTAAATAATGATTATTTTATACTTTTGAATAGAGTTCCATCATATTTCAACCCTTAAAAAGCAAAGAGATTAATGTAAAAAAATTACTAATTCTAAAAAAATGATTTCGCCTTGGATCGATTTGAAAAAAAATTTGGATTTAAGCTCAATTCACCCGCTGCTTTATAGTTTATGTCATGTCGATGAACCCTGATTGTTCTAAGGGGTGAAAACTACCCGTAATTGTCAAATATTATAAAATAACATATTAAACCTGAATATGGGTAAAATTTGGTTTGAATTAATTAAATAATGATAGTTTCGTGCTTTTGAATAAAGTTCCATCATATTTCAACCCTTAAAAAGCGACCCTTATTAGAGATTAATATAAAAAATTAGTAATGCGAAAAAAATGATTTCACCTTTTAACGATTTGCATAAAAATTTGGACTTAAGCTCAACTCACCCTCTGCTTTATACTTTATGACATGCCGATGAACATTGACTGTTCTTAGGGATGAAAACTACCCCTAATTTTCAAAAATTGTAAAATAATATTATAAATCTTAATAAGATGAGTGAAATTTGGTTTGGATTAGTTAAATATTGATTTTTTATACTTTAAAATACAAATTCATACATTTTCAACCCTTAAAAATCAATTGTTATGAGTGCTATAGGTGAAAACAATTTTTTGCCAAAATTTTGCGACTTTTCAACTTTTGAAAATCACCCTTTACAACATTGCATTTTTTATAAACTAATTTATAAGATATAAATTGAAAAAAAGTATAATTAAATACAAAAAAATTTATCAACATAAAAAGGCACCATATATTCTTATACATTTACATAAGTAGTAGAAAATATTTACATTTATAAGTAAAACAATTATAATATTAATTTTATTCGTCATCAATTACATCTTCATCGTGATCTATGTCATCCTCATCTTCAATTATTGGTGGACTATTATTGCACCCTTCACCTGAGCACCCAGAACAAGTAGAGTTACAGTATAAACCAACTTTTCTGCACCCACATGAAACACCGCATCCTTTTTTGCATTGCCAAAAAATAATTTTTTGTAAAAGTTCATCGAGTGCAGGTTGTTTGTTCATGCGTACGGGTAATAACAAACCATCTTTGGAATACCATCCCCAATCTGTTGCTCTAATATTTTCATTGCCAAGCCATAGACATATGAGCAGATGTTTTATTCTGTTCTATGGGATTTCAAAATAAGAACGCTTAAAATTTCGAATGTATAACGCCCCACTAGCTAATATACCGGTTTTGTAGATTATTATGCTCCGAAATGTACTATACTATACTAATAGAATTTTCCGGAAAAAAATTCACTGGTTTTTTTAACGTATTTCTTTTAATTTTTAACGATAGAGTGTTTCTTCAAAAACGATTTGTAGAGGTTTTTAAGAGCTACAAGGATCTGTGAATTAAATCTTTTTGGAACCCTTGGTTTTTAAATGGTGCTTGATCGTAAATCGATGCTTTAAACGGCTATATCTCGCCAAATATTCATTGTACAACAAATCTAAATGAAGGATAATTTTAGTCATTAAAAAAACTACAATTTGATAA